GAGACCTAGCCTCTGGTCTTTCTTCGTGTTTTATTGACTTGCATTGCTAATTTAAATGTATTTATAAATAATTAAATTTATTGAATAAAGCAAAAACAAGCAATATATAAATGAATTTTAATAATGATTTAAACTATAAGAAAACTTGAGTGTATGAATAATTTGCATTAATAGAAAACAAATTTAATCATGAACTGCATAATTTTAAAAGCTCTCTTCTAATTCCTTTAAGTTCTTAACAGATAGCTTATAATAATCATTATTATCTGCTGGTTCCTGCTCTTCAATTTTTTTAATAAGCTCAGCAAATTCATTCTTTGTCATAACTCTTAGCCTAGGTGGGTCAATCGTTTTGCTATCATAAATTACTTGCCAACCCAGCCTTTGAACAAGTATTAATGAACGCCTGCTGCAATCATTAAATTTTTGATTATTGCTGGTTTACCTTTATAGTAAATTGTGGATAATTCTACTAGTATTTTATTTACACAGCTTGCAATCCTTTCGCCTTGGGTAAATTCACGATTCCAGTTATTTGCTTCTGGGTTTATTTCTTATCTCTTTTCTCCAGTCTCTTGATCAGTCACAGTGATAAATCCGGGAATAAAAAATTGATCAGAATTCTTTAGTTCTTTTATCCTTTTTGTTAGCTTAAAAGAGACATGCACCAATTCACAAAGAGTATGGATGTATAAGACTCTCGAAAATTGATAATTATTTTCATTATTTGAGATTTTTTTCCAAATAGTGTTAATCTGACTTTTGATATCATCTCCATCCTCAATTTCCATAGGCACTGGTAAAGAACGTGAAAATTCAATCCACTTGTCAAATATTTCTCTAAAAATTTTATTTATTGTTTCATTTTTTGGCATATTATTTTTGATAATTATTGGCATTGAATTCCCACTAATTTGGACATCAGTACGATTTTTTATTTTATTCTGCTAGATTTTCAAATCCTATCAATATTAGATATAAGTTAAGTTAACATATTCATATTATAAATTCTTACCTGATCAAGCTTTAAATAAATAAATAAATATATTTTAACTTTATGTTTTGTATTATCATATTATATGATTATAATAAAAATATACTAATATATATTTAGTTTTAGGATGTAGTATTATACTAATATAAAAGTATAAGACTCACATGCCTAACCTAAGCTATATTAGTATACTATTTACTATAAGCAGATATAATACATAATAAATTAAACAGATCTCTTATTAAAATTTGTCATACTTGTAAAGATTGACTATCTTTATCTGAAAAATTATCTTCATTAATTTCATCATTTGAACCTTCAACTTGATTTACTGAGTAGAGAGAGGTTGATCTTTGAGAAATTGAACTTCGAAAACTATCAAATTGTGTGAATGATTCCTTTGAATTTGATAAATTTAATTATAACTTTGAAATTTATTTTTAAATCTGTCGAAATTTGATTATGATTATTTACTTGATTACTCGTATCCGATTGAGTTACTGGCACATTCTCTGTTTCATCTATCCGCTTTTAAAAATAACATAATAAATAATATTGACTAGTGAAATTTTGTTATCATAGTAGAGTTTACCTGTCTACTAAAGCGTTCATCCTCGTCTATAACAACAACAGGAAAATTGGTGCTTTTTACTCTATTTCCAATAGAGTCATTGATAGAACTATTATTATGCAAAGTTGATTTTTCTATAATTTTTACATACTTTCTTATAAGTAAAAATTTTTAATTATATTAGCCAAAATTTGATATAACAATAATACCTAAAGGATCCGATAAAGTCTCGCATTTTTTATTGCGATTCGTTGTTTTTTTCTTTGAAAATTTCCTTATATCTTGACTGTTTTCATCGTCAGAATCTGAAATATCCTGTTTTGCCTTATATTTTTTAATACTTTTTGATTTCAATCTTTTGATTTTTTTTGCACTTTGATTATCAATTTCATCTGAACTTGAATATTCAATTCGTATTTTTTTACGTTTCGATTTCTTCGAATTACCATTTTCACACTCCTTACAGTACCAATTTCCAGGAGGAATTCTTGTAACTGGAGGGTTTAAACATCTAGTATGAAAATTTTTGCCACAAGAACCATCACACAAGAGGATGTAACCTCTGTCACCTTTCCATTTGCATACGGAACAAACACAATATTCACATAATTCCTTTTTATTTCCGTAGCAATCTTCACATTCTAACCATCCTGGTGAATCTTCATTACTTACATCCTACCAAATTTTTGATGTCAATAATGTATATAATAAATTTATTTTCGAAACTTATTAACCGATTAGTTGAAAATTCTTACATTATCATTATCTTGAATAGATCCGATGTCATCGGCTTGTGTACTATTGTTTGCTAGGGTCGTTTGTTCAAGCATTCCGGAGATAACATTGATTGATTGCTGGTCATTGGGCATAAATTAATCCGGTTCTCTGATATTTTCAATTAGCTAAAATTTGTTGATATGTCAATGATTAATTATTTTCAGGTTAACTCAATTATAGAAAACTTTCAAATTCTTTATATTTTGCTTTCTTACTCGATTGTCATTAACGCGTTCATTATCAGGTTGGTTCATATTGTCAATTGAAAATTGATCATCAGTGCCAACAACTTGCGAATCAGGCAATAGTTCATTTGTTTTCTCGTTATTTTCAAAGTCATTACCGTCATTCTCTCTTTGCTGTTGTTTAGATGATTTGTTAATAATTAATTACGCTTATAATTTTTATTATTGAAAATTTTAGATTCTCACTAACATGTGGATATTTCAAAGCATCCTTTATTAATCGTCAATTTTGTAATAAAAATAAAAAAAAAATAAAAAAATAAACATCTATTAAAGCATTATTTTCAATAGCAACTTTTAAAATCTCTTACTTCATTTTTCTCCTTTCTTTTCGAGATTTTAAAATAATCATTCATATGACTACTTTTAGCCCATTGGTCTTTTTCCAAATTTAATGTATCATTTTCATTTGTTTGAGCATCAACATCGACTTTAGATAGTCTATCGCTGCCTGGGTCCTAAGTTTTATTTAAAAGTACCTTAATGTTACTGTGTCGATTGATTAATAAATGTGTGGCAGATTAAGATGAAAT